ACCCATTCATTGGCTGCCTACCCATCAATCTACCAACGCACCCATTCATTGGCTGCCTACCCATCGACCAACCCACCCATTCATTCGACCAACCCACCCATTCATTCATGCATGTATGCCTGAGCCCACTCTTATCATTTATCCTCATTGCTGCAAGGACCCACAAGCCACAGGATGCTCATGGACTCCAGAAGCTTAAAATGTCAAGGAAATGGGGCTGGAGAGACGGTGGTGGTTCAGGGGCTTGCTGCTCTTGCAGAGGACCTGGGATCTGTTCCTAACAACCATCCACGAATCCAGTATCAGTAGATCTATTCCCCTCTTCTGACCTCCACAGGCACTAGGCATGCACGTGGTGTACGCACTACATGTAGACAAAGTATCCACGCACAGAAAGAATTCTAAAACCATGAAGGAATTGGTGACGCCCTGATCCTCCAGAAGGAAGATGCTCTTCGGGCCTTGTGACTCTAGCGCCACATTTGAACGCTCATTTCTAGGATTCTGAGACAAGAAATTCATCTGATTGTTGAGCCCCCAGGTATGTGGCATTGCCAGCCACACTCAGAAACCAACCCACCAACCCATGTACTGGGCTAACAGATGACGTGCGCTAAACTGGACCAGTGGACACTGCAGCCGCGTGTGAACCCTGCCAAGACTCCGAGAACCATCCAGCTGTGTCCATCCCAGATCCCTGACTCACACCATGATGGGATAAAAGAAATCTCATCTGAAGTCTGTGTTGTTTTTTATAGTAATTAAAATTACAGTTACCATGTGCTGGGCTTGGTATAAAATCCTTTATCAACACATTTATGGTTTTGACTAACTTTTTACTAGTGTATATTAGGTATAAATGTACCCGGTCTCATCATGACCCTTTTACCTATATAACTGTCACCTCACTTTATCTCTCTTGCCCCTTCCATCTCTTTACTAACAGTGTTTCTTCTACTTTATTTTTTTTTTAATTAACAACACAGTATTAGGTTTCCACATGACATTTCCAAGTAATACAAAGTAACAAGTTTTTGTTGCTTTCTTCCCTGACCCCCCCTGGATTTCCCCCACCTCCTACTCACCCACCCTCCCCATTTTGTTCTCTCCGCTTCTGTCTTGTGTGTCCTCCAGCCCCTCCAATGGTCTTTCCTCTCCCGTGCTCTCCTCTCTGTTCTGGTAGACGGTGTCCACGCTCTCCCCCACTTACTGCTGAACCTGTGAGCTATGATCCTCATGTGGGGTCGTGAACATTTTGTCCCCTTGTGTCTGGATTACCTCACTCAGGATGCATGATCTAGTTTCCCCCTTTCCCAGCAAGCTTTGTGGTTTTGTTGTGTTCTAGATTGGCCAGGACGATGTGGTGAGACTGTATCAAAAATTAAAAAAAAAAATCTCCACCTTAATTCCAATGTTTTTATACATCACCAGTTCACTACTATTCTTGTGTTAAATAGAACTACCAGCCAGGTGTGGCGGTGCTCCCCTTTAATCCAACCACTTAGGAAGCAGAGGTAGGCAGAGCTCTGTGAGTTCGAGACCAGCCTGGTCTACAGAGTGAGTTCCAGGCCAGTTGAAGGTACATAGTGATGTAGTGACTCTCTCTCTCTCTCTCTCTCTCTTTCTCTCTCTCTCTCTCACACACACACACACACACACACACACACACACACACACACGTATCATGCATATATATTATATACATTCCTGGGAACCTCAGAACTCTGACCCTCACTACATAGATGCCTGCACCCCATGCTCATTACCTGTCTGTTCACAACAGGGAGGGAAGGGAGCCCCACTTTCTCAGGCATCTGTGCATGCTCTTCCCAGTGTGTCTGGATGAGAGCCTTTGGAAACCTGTAGGAATGTCTCAGAGCCTCCAGCTAGCACCCAGCCTGAGGAGGGACTTGAACCCTTGCAGTTTAAGCCCCTCCCTCAGCCTTTGTGGGACACATTTCTGGCACTTCATCTAGTTCACTGTCCTGGACCGAGCAGCCCATTTAAATACAGGACAATGAGGCTCAGCAAACTAAGCTTGCTAACTTAAAAAGGAACCTGAGAGCTGCAACCCCACAGCAGTCAAACTCCCCTGTCTCTGTCAGTGGCCATTTTGGGGCCTAATGTAGGTGAGGCCGGGCCCTACACAGCTCCTTTCTGACTGGCATTCCAGGGGCAGCCCCCCAGTGGCCATAGGTAGGGCTTGTCCTAGGCTCACCTGAGGCTGCTCCAGACAGAGGTGAGAAGAGGTAGTCTCAGGTGAACCCGGAAGAAGGAAGGATAAAATAAGTGTGCTTTCTCTGTTAGACTGTTAAATGAGAGCATAAGTACTTAATGGCCTGCAGTGACCACTCTCTAAATAACAATTTCAGGTCCAGCTCCAATACAAAGCAAATGTAAAATAAACAGAACCACTGGGGCCTAAGTCTCATGCCTTCTTCCTGGAACCAGTTGCTCCTGCTCCCCCTTCAAGACTGGATCCCACCACGTGCCCCAGAGAGGTTGCATTTGCATCTCTTCTACCATGGCAGTGTTTCCAGAACTTGAAGCGAGGAGAGAGTTCCCGCTTGTCTGTGGCGCTCTCACGCACCGGTGGCTCTCATGGAATACCTCACCTCACACTTTCTTTGAGCCACTGATGGCTACTACTCTGTCATGGTATTAATTTCTTGTGTATTGCTGTGGCAAACACCTGAGAAGCCACCTGAGGGAGGAAGGGTCTGTCCTGGCCCACAGTCAGAGAGAGCAGTTCGTCATGGTGGGAAGGCAGGCAGTAGAAGTCTGAGGCAGCCAGTCACATTACATACACAGCGAGGAAGTAGAAAATGACAAATGCTGTGTTCAGCTCACTGTCTCATTTCTGTGTTGTCCAGGACCTGAGCCTGTGAACCGGTGCTGCTACATTTGGTGCAGATCTCCCTCCTCAATCAACCTATTCTAGAAAGTTCCTCACAGGTGTCTACAGAGTCTAACCTAACCTAGAGATTTCTTCATAGGTGTGTTCAGAGGTTTGTCTCTTCCACAGTCTAGATCTTGTCAAGCTGACAGTCTATTAACCATTGAGGTTCCCACGTGGCTGGTTTCAGGGGAGCTGTTACCGCTCCTTCCCATTACAGATGGCTTTTGCTGAGATTTTGTTTCCCTCTTTGGAGCCCAAAGCAGGTCATGTGCAGTCGTGTCTGCATCCTGCCTTCCTGGATGCTGTCTGCCTCCTGCCCTGGTCCAGCCCAGATACCTTCTCTGCAACCTGTGTCTTGCTTATTAAACAAGCAACGACAGCAAACTGCTTCTTGGGAAAGGCCTGTGGTAGTACTTCACAGCTTCCCATGAGAAATACCTCTGGGATCTGCTACTTAAATGGCAGGCTCATTCCCTTTCCAGAACCTTGAGACAAACTCTGAGAAGTCTTCTGAGCAGAATGGAAATACACACTGGCTTGGTGTATGAGACACACCACAGTTATCTGCAGTGATTGGAGTTCAGGGGAATGAGGGAAGGTGTTGACACTTGAGGGGTAGAAGGCTTCATGTCCAGATCCCAATGGAAGACATGAGAACCAACTATGGCAGTAGCAGCCTTGCTGGCTGACTCCCCTTACACCAGGCATAGAAGTGCTGCTAACCTCTGCAGAGTCTCTGTGAGAAAGCAGCTGTTCTTACCCCCATTATACAGAAGGGAAAACCAAGGATGCCCTTGTTCCTGCTGTTTCTAAGCCAGATCTTCCAGCATCCTACAGCCTTTCCCTTTACCTGTGACACCTTCCTGTGTATACTCTGTGGGAACAGGGGCCCAATACACCCTACACTAGGCCCAGGGCCCTAACTAAAGCACAAAGGGTGAGCAGAGAGTGGGTCCCTTGTCCCACAACTTGGGCTATTGTTCATGTTCAGCCCTGTAGTCTGCCTTTCTGTCCCCAAACTTCCAGATTCTTGTAAGACTCTACAGAGAACAGTTTTATGCCTCTGTCTGAAAACATTTAGAAATGTCTAGGGACATTATTCATTGTCATGGCTGAGGAGGGCTGTTGCTGGTATCTGCTGGGCAGAGGCTAGGGATGCTATTCAATGCCCGACAATGGAGAAGACAGCCTGCCACTCAGGACAATGAACTAGCCAGCTCTGCAGGTCAAGTGCCAGAGTTGAGGTGCCCTTCTCAGGGCCCAGGGCCCAGCTTTGTCCTTGTCTGATCCGTGGCTGGTCCCTAATATGGACCTTCTATTTCTGAACACCTCCTTGACTAGAACTCTCAGAACTCATTTGTTGGCCCACTTCATGCTGGCTGTCCTCCCCACCCCCGCCTGTGGCATTCAGGCTCTTGCTGATCCTGGTAGCTTGGCTGGAAGGACACCTGTTTCCTGTCACCAGGCCACAGCCCACTCCCCACCCTGTGCAGAGGTATTAACCTGTATGCCTTCCTTCCTGCAAGGCCACAAGGACATGAACTTGGCCATTTGTGGGCTAGCACCAGCTATAGTGACCATGCTCTGCCAAGACACCAAAGAGCACCCCCCTCCCCATGTCCTTCGTAGAGGTCGTCTCACCCTAGGACACAATGTCTAGCCTGGCAGACACCACCCACCCACGTTTCCCCGAAGCATTAATTTCAGGCACCCAGAGGTTCTCTGTTCCTTAGAGTCCTAGCGTGGGGGCAGACCTGGCAGTAGAGAAAAGGATTCTGTGACCCATGCCTAAAAATACAAGTATTATCCAATTGTCAAATATCATTCAACTGTGACAGCTGACTGCCCGACGCAGACAACAGGCCCCTGGCAACAGGGCTGGCTCCCTGGGAGTCTTTCACTCTGGATATTAGGATGGATCTAGGCCGGCCTTTGGCAGGCAGCTTCACTGCTCAGTGTTCTGGGTTCTGGGCTGGGGCACAGGCTGGCTCCGGATCCGTGGGAAGAAGAATGAGAGGCACTGGGGCTGTTCAACTGGCCCCCTTTCTTCAGGCTTCCACCCCCTACTGAGATGTTCCTCCTCAAGAGAGGAATGAGGCTTTCAAAGTACATTTCTGCTGGAGCAGGGGCCAGGAGGTTAAGTCCACACAGACTCACCCCATCTTGGGTTCTTGGTAAAACGCAGCTCCCTTCCTGTCTCATCTACTTGAGAAGAGAGCTTTGACTTAGTCAGACAGACTTCTACCACCCCAGCCCTGTCTCTGCCCTGATAAATCGAGCCCTGCCTTTTAGGCCATGAGAAGTCCTTTCTTCCACGATGGATTTTCCAAGTTTTCCCCTTCTGCCGGGGCTTGCAATAATCACCGGCCCAGTGGCCTGTCTGAAAGGGGTGCATCAAGAACACATATGCACATTGTATCATGTTCTTCTTATGCACAAAGGCAGGTCTTGAGGAAATTCAGTGGGGAATCAAAGATGGCAGCTCAAGTCCCAGATCTGCTCCTATGAGATCCTGCGGCCTTGAGTCTGACTCCCCAGTCCCCATTTTCTCACCTTTAAAAGGAGCTTGGGCCAGGCAGTGGTGGCGCATGCCTTTAATCCCAGCACTTGGGAGGAAGAGGCAGGCAGATTTCTGAGTTCAAGAGTTCGAGGCTAGCCTGGTCTACAGAGTGAGTTCCAGGACAGCCAGGGCTACACAGAGAAACCCTGTCTCGAAAAAGCCAAAATAAATAAATAAATAAATAAATAAATAAATAAATAAATAAATAAATGGAACTTGGTCCTGACATGCTGGCACAGACCTGCAATCCCAAAACTCAGAAGGCCAAAACAGAATTTTGAATTTGGGGACAGCCTGGGCTACATAGAGAGACCCTAAAGTGGAGGCAGCTTGATGCCTGGCTTGTGGGGGCTCTT